GGCGGGAGGCGACAGGGTATTGGGCAGCCACAGGTCTGGTGGCTGTGCCTCAGGAGCACTGGTTTGGTTTTAATCAGCCTCTTGGTCAGGAGGGGAGTGGAAGAAGCAACTGTACCTGAGGCCCTGCAGAGCAGAGGCCACCCGTTGTGGTCTAGGGACCTTGATGCAGCGGTGAACTGAGAGCGGCTTTTAGGGGCCAACCTCGCAGTGTTTCCAAGTCTAAGCAAGAAACCAAAGACACCGATTCATTGCACATTTCCAACTGGAAATTAGTCTGGCTTGAAAAATGGTTTGCCCAGCTGTGGTACAGCAGTCAGAACCCACGAGGCCCAACAGACTGGCCTGTAGTGGGCTTCCGGCGCCTGCTTGCATTTGCACAACCAAGTCTCCACTGGAAAAGGGAAAAAGAAAGAGAGCAGAAAGATGGAATGTAAGCTGTAAGTTATTATCCTCTCCCTTTGTTTTGCACAAGTATTTGTGTTCCAGTTTGGACTTCCTAGGTACATAAGATGCTGAAGTCACATCTGGAAACTATTCTTTAAGCTTTTAGGCTTGGTTTACGTTTCTCTCCATTACCTGGTGGTGGTGTGGGCTTTTAATACTTATTAAATAAGTACTGAAGTAGACTTACTTTACAGGAGAGATGACCAGTGTCTGGAGAGGCAGGAAAATAAACTCCAGTGGTTGGGTGCTGGTAGCAAATTCACATTAACCTCTCTGTTTGACATTGGAAACTGGTTCGTGTATCTGAATCCACTGCAGAGTATTGTGTCCAGGGTTTTACACCATTAATTCAGAAACCTGACCTGGAAATACATTCTGGAAAACCAGAAAACCCATTTGGTTGAGTGGAACAGCCAGGTGGGTTAGTAAGGATGGTTTACAGAAGGTGTGGATGTGCCAGGGGAAAACTGAAGGACTGAGGCTGTAAGTAGAAGAGCATATCCTAGGGGGTTGGAGGAATGAACACTGGTCTAGTACAGGGGTGGGCAAACTTTTTGACTCGAGGCCCACAAAGGGTTCTTAAACTGGACCGGAGGGCCGGAACAAAAGCATGGATGGAGTGTTTGTGTGAACTAATATAAATTCAAAGTAAACATCATTACATAAAAGGGTACGGTCTTTTTTTTTTTTTTAGTTTTATTCATTTCAAACGGGCCGGATCCGGCCCGCGGGCCGTAGTTTGCCCACGGCTGGTCTAGTAGATATGAAGATACTGTGCAGGAGGTGGGGGAGGCTGGAAACTCTGGGTGGGAACAAGTCCTGATAATGAAGTAAAATATTCTGGTCACATAGAAATATTTCTGTAATAAGTTTTGGGGAAAAATTAAAGATATCTGGCATGCTCTAAAATGTGGCCCAAGAGTAGAGATACTTTTCCATGTAGACAGGTTGGCACATCCAATGCTGCGCTACTTGCGGAAGACGTGGGCAGAGCCTTGGGGGAAGCCCTGAGGCTGGCGTCACGGTGTCTGGCCTGATGGCCCAGGCCGGCGAAGGCCAGTCAGGGGTTCCTGGAACATCAGAACATTAACCTCCACTCATATTTAGGGTCTGGGGTTCAGTTCAGATGAAGTGAGTTTTGTGGTATAAAGTATATGAGAGCAAGGAGATATTTAAAATTGATTTTTCAAAACAGCCAAGGAAATGTTCTTAAATTTTTAAACAAAGAAATTTCAAGTTGAGTTTAGCTCAAATACAATTTGGGGGGAGGGGGAAAATGATAATTTCGTAGCCAAGAAGTTGTCAGCCATGATGCCAGAGTAACCAATTAGTGGTGGGATTTTCTTTATCAATGGATTCTTTCTTCTCCTGGTATTTAGAGGAATTATAAAATTGTCCCCATTTCTCTTAGTATTACAGAGGTGGGCAAAAGTAGTTTTATATTGTTATACAAATAACAATAATTAATAACTGAAGAATAAACTCTGTTTCATGTACTCACAAACTGTAAACCCACTTTTGCCCACCCTTTACTCTGGAAAATGCTTTGCTGTTTTGGGGCTGGCACTGTGTCTGTCACCTGGAGAGAGGATGTGTTCAGTGTGTCCAGGGGCCCTCAGGATGCCTCCTCCATAGCAAGTGGCTGTCATTGTGGTAACGTGGTTGTCAGGAGGGCGTCCCATTAGGAACAGTCTGGAAGCAGGGTATGCGAGTACTCCATTGCCTGTCCCATCTGGCAGCCCCTGGTGCCCGACTGCGCCTGGTTTCAGAGGTCTCTGCATCAGATCAGCTTGGTTGCAGTGGTGTGTGGGCTGGTTTCCAGACCCGTGTGGGGTTTGTGATGCATTCTGAACCAGACCAGTGTGTCTAGGTTGCTTTCATGAGGGAAGGGCTGCCCCCGCAGGGGTGAGGCATGTCACTGGTGTGATGTTAAATGTCCACAGCATCCCCTGCAGTTCTCATTTAAGGGCAGTACAATGTAATTGCTAACTACCTGCCCTGTGTTTACTGAACTGGCAGGCATGCTTGCGATGTTTATGAAACAGCTTACTGTCGGAAGGCTACTACTGAATATGCCCCTTCCAGTCCTCGGCCCAGGCCAGTGTAATTCGTGGCTTTGTAGTACTGGCTCTTCCTGGAAACAGCAGTCCTCTGGTAGCTGATGCCATATTAGCTTTAAGTGCTAAGTAGATATTCTCAGGCCCCTTCCTGCTGCTGCCATCATTCTATAAATCACACAACATCAATTCCCCACCAAATAACAGCTTAAAATAGAACACTGTCAAGCCAGTTTACACTCCATCCTTAAATCACATCATTGAGGAAATATTTAGAGAGAATGGAGTCGACTTTTTGTTTTTTTGTTTGAATGACCATCATAAACCTAATGCTTTTTAAAGAAAGAGCGCCTGGAAGACGAAGCCTTGTTTTCAGGATAATTCTGCCTCAGTAAATCCTCTCCACGTCCCAGCATTTATTGGGCCATTACTTGTTCTGAGGACTGATTACCCAGGCAGCTCATTAACTGGATAAACGGGCTTTAGTGAAAGAGTTTCGGTGAAGTCCTGTAGGGAGCACAGGCACGCGGTGGGAGGAAGCTTCAGTTCTGCAGCTTCTGCACTTGGGATCTGAAATGAAGAAAGATTTTAGGCAGGACTGACCCTTCCTGTCCTGTTGGGTCATTGTGAGTTTTGTTCCTGTTTTACATGTGAGCTGACCTAACTCGCTGTCACTCACAAGTAGCAAGGCTGCTCGTAGGTTCTGCCAGCACGAGTTCAGTATGTCCTTTAGGCACCTCTGGGGGCACTTAGGTTTCCTATGTCATTGCAGAGCCTGACAAGAGTGATGGAAGCTCTTAGGCCAAATTATAAATTTCGTGGAGCTGAGACTGCAGAAGTCTGTGCTGTTTAGCGCATCAGCTGACTTTTCACTGGCACAAGTCTACACAAGGCCCACCTATAACTAGCCCTTTTTTGCCCTGGAGACATTTAAAAGAGGGAATTTGGTACTGACAATGTTACTTAATTGATTTCTGCTAAGTTGTTTGATGAAGGCAGGCAGTGAGATTGGATTTTAGTCAGATGCGTTGCACTTCACAATCGGGGGTCAGCTCTCTTCTTTAACAATCCCCGGGTGCATTTGTCTCCAATCTGCTGAAGAAGCATGGCGGCCGTTTCCACGCGGCTTCTGTAATAAGGAACATGGCCTTTCAGAGAGATTTAGTGTTCTTTTCCAAAATAGTCACCATGCGGAATCCTTGAATGATGCAGCTAAATGCAACAGAAATGAAAAACACAACAAATTGTGGGTGGTGGCCATAAGCTGTACATTGAATTAACCAGCTAACTCAAAGCCCCAGGAGGATGTGTTACTTTCAAAAATTTCATGGCCTTCTTCCAACCTTCTTATTGTAAAGGTTAGCAATAATTACAAAAAAGATGGGCAGTGTGTGAAGCTCAGGTAACACATCCTTAACTTGGCATAAATAATGATCAACATGCTTTTTCCTGGGCTACCTGCACCTTGACAGGTAGGAACAGTTCACCGTGATGCACAGGCCTGCAGACAGGAAGCTCCTTCCTAGACGAAGAGATCCAACAAAGTGGGCACCAACTTCTCATACAAAGGGGCCCCCCAACAAATTCATTTCATTTTATAAATTAATGAACTTTTACTAAGTACTTATTCTGTGCCAAGAAGCACGGTGAGTCCTGAGGCTGACATTCCTCCCCTCCCACCATAACCAACCAAGCAACCTCCTCAAGCAACACAACACATAGCCTGCACCTGGCCAGGCTGACCTGGGGGACAGCCTGTTTCTAACACATTCCCCTCCCAGCTTACAGGTGTGCGGATTCCAAAGACAGATGGCAATGGCTTCACCTATGGTGCCACAGGTGAAGCCATTGCCATCTGTCATTGGAATCCGACAGCTTATACATTTTAATGAGATTTGCCCCTAAATAGCAAACAAACAGACTAAATCATACCCTTGCAAAGAAGTACTGTATTTAACATTGTATTTCTCTGAGGCCTATTATGAGCAGAGCCAGATTTGGTGGATTTCTTAGGGTACGTGAACATATCTTCCAAATATCTAGTCAGGTTCCAAGTAAGGTATCTGAGCTGTGGTTGGATTTTTCTTTTTCTCATAAGCAGTTATAACCACACAACAGTCTGATTTTTAGGGTTTCAGTACCGCAGCAGCCATCAGAGTTGGACCACAGTCAGCTTGGTGAAGCTCTGGGAATGGCCAGTCCATAATACAGCGTGCACTTGACATAACAGTTTAAGCCAGCCCTTGATTTCCAATGGTTTGAAAAGCTCCTCCAGTGCATTCTGTAAAGTTTGATGACTAAGAAGCCAGACCTTTGTAAAATAATGATCCTGCCAGATTCCAACCTCACACTGCCCTTGCCTGTTTGTAATTAATTCCGAGACTTGTGTGGTGAGAGAGAATGGACTTGCCTTTCTCTCTTGAAAAGAAAAGAGGTTCAGTGGTAATACTTTACTTTTAGGCCCAGTGGTTGTCAGTATTGGGACAGAATGTGGGGCACATGGCTTCCTGGGTGGTATAACATATTCTAATTCTAAATCAGCCAGAGGGACGCTTCTTTCATTACCTAGTTAGGAAGTCCTGCGTCTGTGACATTCACTGCTAAACTGGTGATGAGGGAAGGTCCACTTTTCTCCAGTTGCCACTGGAGCACCATTCATGCTGGCAATGTTTATACTTTTCTTCGTAGGCTAAAGAATTCAGTGTAAAAGTAGGGCTTCCAAAATGTTCCCTCTCTCATTTATGTCACAATTTGACATGTGCTTTTAAAAACCACCACTTACAAAACTGGTCTTTAAGCATTGTGAGTCAGAGGTAAAAAGGCAATAAAATGGATAAAGGGGCGTCCCAGTGCGATGGACAGAAATAGTATTACTGTCATGAGAACAGCGGCAAAGGCACCCGACTTCACGGAGATGCTGTTAACGGCACCACAATTACCATTAAAGGTCAAAATTTTGATTTGTCAGTTTATAATCTTATTCTTTCCAGGCAAAACAGATCAATTTAATGTTACAACTTATTTCTCTTTTTATCTCTTTTGGCCTGAGGGGGCAGGGGAATTGTCAACTGCGCAATCTTTAAAGTGTATGTTAATTTTTAATGTGGTATTTCAGTACATATTTTATTCATTAAATTTATTTGAAAACTTCTGTTGTCTATTTTACCAAAAAGAAAAAAATCCATTCTCAGAGCATGGCTTCCTAGGGCGTTGAACAGGCACCACTTCTACTCAGTGGATGGGTGACTAACATTCTCCTTCCCTGCCCTAACAAAGACCAATCTAAACACACTGTCTACACTGTCAATGGATTTATCTTGCTGTCTTCCTCTTTCCTCTTCATCACCCTTGTTTTAGGTCTAAAATACTGCACCCAGATTCTGGTCTCTTTCGATCACTGCTGGCCCTTAGGATGTGCTCAGAAATATTTGTTGAAAGAACTGCGTAATGAACTTTTTCTTAGAAAGGTAACAGTATCGGAAACAGCATGTCTCATTTAGTTCAGAATTATTACGCACTAGAATGTGCTAGTTCTTAACCACCTTTGCAGCTATGATGGAGTCGTTTTGATGTCAATGATGCAAACAGGTGAGGCTGCTGGCCTGTGGGGGTGGCACCCGAGGCCCAGGGATTGGGGATGCCAGCATGTTGAGCTCACTCACAGACGTTGGGTTTCAAGGCTCCGGTTCTGTGTATGGCTCCACTATCTCCCTCAGGCAGAGGGACCGAAATATCTCATGATGACAGCTGCTTCTCCAGCATCTCCTTTATCACAGTCGGGTCTGCTCGGTTGAGAGTCGCTTTTCGGACCAAGCCGATCAGTTTATTTATAGCTCTGGGGTTTCCCTTCTTCAGATCCATTACCTTTAAAGACAGAAATTGTTTGAGAGGAGAAAATATAGACCAACACCTAAAAATCCTAAATTAAGGTTTATATTTACTGAAATTTAAATTGTTTCTTTTAGTATGAGAGAAGGAAAGGGGGGTGTGTGAAAATCTGAGGCATTTTCTAGGTTCCTGTCGGAGATCCTGCCACTCTGTCTCCCAACTGGTAGGGACAGAGGACTGTGCTGCGTCATACTGACCAGGGCGAGGCGCCTCTCAGGGCCTCCATGGAGGTCAGCAGGCAGTGACATGCAGGTCTCCTTCTCCCCAGAAGGCTTCAACTCCTGTTTACTAGAAAATAAAACCATGGAATGGCGACTCTCCCCGAGCATGTGGATGCGGGGAGGGGGCACTGCACTGTGGTGCCAGGGCCACTGGCTCCGCCCTCCTGCTCTGCAGCGCCTGGATGGGCAATAAAGCCTGTGAGTATGTGCACTCAGTGTTATGGAATGAGTCTGAAACTAAAAGTGTAACTTTATAGGTCACTGTGGCTAAGGCAAAAGGACAGAGGTTCCCAAGTCCCAGTGCAGGCTCATTTTCCTTGTCAAGAGCACTTTCCAGAGCTGAGTGTCCCTGGCAAGCTGATGGGTAGGTGGCTATTATTCTGAAAGAGGTACTAGTCACTTTCCCCCAGTGAAAAATCTCTAGACAATATAATTAGATTTGGGGAGGGAGGGATGCTACTCATCGTAGCTTTTCTATTTTGTTCCATGCTCAGAACACAAAATGACTTGGTTTTCAGCTATGCTCCTGTTAAGGATTTGCTCCATAATTTACAAATAATTTTTTCTGCTTTTCTTTCCACCTGTTAATGGCATGAAGCTAACGTGTTTTCCTAGCATCTTTGCCCTCTGCAGCCACCCCTGCTGGTGTATTACTGAGGACCTCCTCATGAAGCAGGGCGGGCACAACATGTTCAGAAGCCACATGCCTGGGAGGGCCTTGTGCCCAGGAGGTTAAAACTTGGGTATTGAGTCTGAGAACTACCCTTTCAACTGAAAGGCCATGAAATTAAACTGCAGGGTGAATCTTCCTTTTACATGGGAAAAGCTGTATTTTTCTAATATTCACCTACTTTCATCCCTTGATCTTTAGCTCATCCATTGAGCTAAAAACTGACATAAATACTTAGGGAATTACTGATGAAACTGGATCAGCCATTACTAGGAAGCGCCTCTGGGTTGCTGTTACAGGGAGCTGTGGACAGGCTCTTGGCTGTGTCCTCAGGCTGGCCCCTCCTCCAGCTGCACCTAAGATCCTCCTCACCCTGTGGGTGGTAATTACCACTTGAGGATGTTCCTCCATTGTGGCTTGGCAGAGCTGTTCCAGGGCCTCTTGATCCTGCATTAGTTCAAGCCTCTTTTCTGAAACTATCTGTGCTGGAGTCTTCCCTCCGCTCCTCCATAGCTCCTCAAACACCTGCAGGCCAGAAGCAGGGAGAGAGGGAAGAGAAGTCAGCAAGCAGATGCAATGAATTCCCAGCTGCGGGTGTGGCCCACGTGGTGACCTGCCTCTCCTGATGCATCTGGGAGGAAGCTGCTCTACGGTGAATGCAGACACACCTGGGGTCTCCCCATGCTGAGCTGCTCCCTGGAAGCAGAGCAGGAGGCCACACTGCAGAGAGAGGTACTCCCCACCAGCTGACTCAGCCACCAGCAGGGAGGGGTTAGATGAGGTGTGAGATGGTTACTCACAGGCTCCTGCTGACAGGAGCAGGAGGGCCAGGCCCAGCTGTCTCCTGTCCAATGAATTAATTAACTGAAATCAGTGTGGTGAAGGATGGCGCCTCACAGGCGGCAGGAGTTAGCCACTGCTCCTAGATGAGGTTCAGAAAACCCAGCCTGCTCAGAAACATAATTTTAGGGGAGCAAGAAAGTGGCCCCATAATGAAGATACAAAATGAAAAATAACTAAAAACAGAAATAATAATCCATAGGGACCTGGCCCCAGATCTGACTAGGATGATCAATAATGTTTGTACTTTTCTGCTTATCAAAGTTGGAAAAAGGAAAATATTTTTTAAAAAGGCATTTCTGGGGGCAGTTTTCCTCATTCCTCTCATTTTTCTAGTGTGAGCTGGAAGAGGTGGTGTCCCGTGTGTCTCATGCAGCACCTCCTTAATCTTGGCCTACAGTTAGCATTGAGCACCCCTAAGACCAAGGACGAACTTGGGCCAAGGATGAACCATCCCTCCCAGAAAAATAGCTGGTCAGTAATTAGCCCATAGGACTTCGGTCAAGAGCCAGAGTAGGTAACAGCTGTGCTTGCCTTCTCCCACACCCACAAAAAAATTACAACTAAATTCTAGAACAATTATCACTGAAAACCACCTGAGGACAAGCTAAACAGAAGTCCTGTAAAGAAGAGGCTGCGTTGAGAATGGCAGGAGGGGTGGAGAGGTGGAATGGGCAGGTCCCCATGTCCATGGTGTGGAGATTAAGAATCAGGAAGATATCTCCGCTACAGAGGCCCCCCTGAAGAGCAACGGGGTCTCAGCCCAGGGCACCAGTGCTGGGAAGAGAAGTCCCCACAACATCCGGCTGTGAAAAACCAGCAGGGATTGCATGGGAGTGAGACGGAAGGCTGCTGGAGACCCAGCATTCCTCTTTTGAGGGTCCACGCACAGACCTGCTTGCTTCCAAACTCACTTGCTCTGGGCTCCCAGCACAGTGGCAGCAGCTAGAAAAGCACCAGGGACATAGGGTGAGGAGTTAAACCAGGGGTGGGCAAACTTTTTGACTCGAGGGCCACAATGTGTTCTTAAACTGGACCGGAGGGCCAGAACAAAAGCATGGATGGAGTGTTTGTGTGAACTAATATAAATTCAAAGTAAACATCATTACATAAAAGGGTACGGTCTTTTTTTTTTTTAGTTTTATTCATTTCAAGCGGGCCGTAGTTTGCCCACAGCTGGGTTAAACTGATTGGCTTCAGGGCTGACGGCAGCTCTCTCTGGAGACAGAAGTGCTGGCAAAAGCCGCTGCTCCTTTGGTGAGCTCTTCTCCCATCCTGCCAGCCTGGTACAGGTGGGTGCCAAATCTGAGCTCTCCATCAAACTGGCTACCACCATTTCACCCTGCCCTGGTGTTATGTCCTCCCACCCAACTTGCTTGCCCGACTTGAGCCACTTCTAGTGGTTCCTCCACACAAGTGGCCTGCCTTGGCTCATGCTATGGACTTTCGTAAAATATCTCAAAGGTCCACAAACCCCAAACAAGCAGAAGCCAACCTGGCATACTCTGTACCTCTTGATAAGTGGCTCCAAGCCTGGCACAAGTGACGACCAGTCTCAACTTGCATTGTAACTCCTGTCAGGTGGCCCCAAGCCTGGTATAGGCCGTGGCCAGTTTGGCTTGGAACATAGTCTCAACTAAGCAGCCACATGCCCAACACAAGTGGTGGTGGCCTCAGCTCACACGGTGGTACCCACCAAAGGGTTCAAGCCCAGCACAGTGGCAGCCAGGCTGGGTTGCAGCAGAGTGTCCAAGCCCAGCGCAAGCGGCCAACCACAGATTACTTTGTAGCCCCAAGCCTGGCAGAAGCATTGGCTGACCTTGGCCTGCACCAGGGCCCCTCCCAAGAGGCTCCAGAACCAACACACCCAGTGGTTGACTTCAGACCACACGAGAGCACCACCCAACCAGCTCCACAAATGACACACTTGAAAGGCAGACCTGGCTGGTACCAGAACCCTGCTAAAGCAACATCTACTCCATGGGGTCAACGCCAAAGCAATCTTGAGAAAAAACAAAGCTGGAGGCATCACATTACCTGACTTTAGGGCTATGGTGGTCAAGGCAGTGTGGTGCTGGTATGGGGACAGATATACGGATCGATGGGGCAGAGTGGAGAGCCCAGAGGTAAGCCCATATCTATATCGTCAACTGACCTCTAACAGGAGGCAAGGGTGTACAGTGGGGTAAAGACAGTCTCTTAGGTGAATGGTGTGTTGAGAAAGCTGAACAGATACTTATCAGGAAAGTGAGACTGGACCACATTCTTACTCTATATACAGGAGTGAACTCAGAATGGACTGGGACTTGGGTGTAAGACCTGAGACCATGGAGCTCCTGGAGGAAAACACAGGCAGTAAATCCTTTGACATTACTCTTAGCAATATTTGTTTAGATATGTCTTCTCAGGCAAGGGAAACAAAAGGAAAGAAAAACAAATGGGACTACATAAACTAAAAAGTTTTTGTGTAGAAGGAAGCCATCAACAGAACAAGGGGACAAGCTACTGAATAATAAAAGACATTTGCCAACTCATAGACACAGACAACAGTATAGTGATTACCAGAGGGAAGGGGGGATAAATGGTGATGGAAGGAGACTTGACTTAGGGTGATGAACATACAATATACAGATGATGTATTATAGAACTGTGCACCTGAAATCTATACAATTTTATTAACCAACCCGAGGCCTGGTGCATGAAATTCGTGCACGGGTATGGTCCCTAGGCCTGGCCGGCGATCAGGGCTGATTGAGGCCTTCCAGCTGCTGGCCAGGGCCTCCTTTTGTTCCACGCCATCCCCTGGTGGCCAGTGCACATCATAGCAAGTGATCGGTCTCCCGGTTGAACTCCTGAGGAGACACTTTGCATACCAGCCTTTTATATATATAGACTAAAGGTTGGATGCATGAAATTTGTGCAGGGGGGGAGGGGAGTCCCTCAGCCTGGCCTGCACCCTCTCACAATCCAGGACCCCTTGGGGGATGTCCGAACCGGCAGTCAGACATCCCTCTTGCAATCCGGGACCGCTGGCTCCTAACTGCTGGCCTGCCTGCTGGCCTGATCACCCCTAACTGCTCAACTGCCTCATTGCCCCTAACCACTCTGCCTGCCTGATCACCACTAACTGCCTCTGCCTCAGCCCCCGCCGCCATGGCTTCATCCAGAATGCCACCTGTAAGGTCGTTTGGCTGTCCAGTCTAATTAGCATATTACCCTTTTATTATAGATGTCACCCCAATAAATCCAATGAAAACCATTGTTTCTAATTATAAAAGTTAATACACAATCACTGTAGAAAATAAGGGAAAATAGAAAAGATAAAAAGAAATCACCTGTATTCCCATTCCCTCAGGATAAACAAGGTTAGTATTTTGGAGTTTTCCCTTCCCATTTTTGTCTTTCTGTTTTGTAACATAATTGTGACCATAATGTATATACAATTTGTGGCCTATTTTTGTTTCATTTATTGCAGAAGTGCTTCCTTATAATTAATGAAAAGCTAATATCCATCAAATATATTTATCATAATTATCCCCTACTGGTAGGTACTTAGACTTTGACCAGTGTTTATTTTGTCCATCACGATAGTCTCCTAAAAGAAGTTCTCAGTTAAAATTGTCCAACATTCAGGAAAAAAAGAGTGAAGATCTCAAGAGACTCCAGATCTCTGGCTCAAAGCAAAAATCACCTGTGAGGACTCTTATAAAGAATCTATGCAGCAACCCTTCTAGGAAAGGAGGCGGGGAAGCTCATGGCTTTGCGGCAGGCACACCTGCCAGTCTCAGGGGCCACGCAGATCTGAGCAAGTCGACCAGGTTGTCAGCCTAGGCCTGGCACCTCACACGGCTGGTACCGACAGGCTCAAACACTGGTGGGATTTGCTTGAGCCCAAATCACCAGAATAGAGGCAATGTGGAGCAGCTCGGGGATCATTGCCAAACCGCACCATTCAGAGGAAAAGCAGGACAACACAAGGACTGATGCTTTCAAATACAGAGACTGGCTGCTCCCTGAGAAAGAAGGGTGAGGTGGGGTACAAAGGAGGGACACGAGAGAAACACATTTCAGGGGCCTCCAGGAACCAAGGGGAGCCTGGTGGCTGGAGTGTCTCTACTCATGGAGTTAGAACACATCAGCTTATTAACTTCCCTCATTAGTCAGTGGCCATTGTAGCCCCGCTCCAGACCCCTGGTCTGACACTGTAGACCCCACTGGTCCAAACCTCTACTCATTCCTATTTAAGACAGAATGTGCACTCCTTGCTGGAACCTAGCGGGGTGGGAGCCACCGAAGGGCCACAGGCTTCCTCCCCTGGCCCTCTTGCAGCAAATGTAATGGCCTCTGTAGTTGCCAGCGTCATGGTGCAGCATAAATCCTCAGCTTTTGTCTGTGTTTAATTACCACCCTGGGAAGTGCTATCAAAGTGCAATGTTTTTTGGCCAGGCATGAAGCTGCTGCCCACTCAAGGCACACATACAGAACAAGGAATTCCCAGTGCCATGCTGGTCCTCTGTACTAATAAATGCCCACCAAAATATTGGGTAATACAAACTGGGAACCCCAATCGCACCACGGCCACTGAGCCAGCTCTGAAATGGGGACAGAAACTCAGCCTTCAGTTCCCTGGTGACTGAATTCACACATCCTCTTACCCACTCCCCAAGTGTTTCTCTAGCTAAAGCTTGTTTTAAGGTATCTGGAAGGAAAGCAGGCAGGCCCTTCACCTATCCTGGGGGCTTCCAGGGTCAGAAAGTGGAGGAAAGACCTATTGAGGGGAGGTGTCAGGGAGGGGCATCCCCTCTGGTCAGAGGCAAGTATTGTGAAAGATCATCCTTCTAAAAGGAACAAACATCAGCACAAACCCTAAGAAAAGCAGGGCATAGAAAAATGTGGAAAGAACCAAAATACTAAAAGGAGGTAAAAAACATAAAATCATTTGTATGCATGACATGTAACACTATCTAGCACAAAGGTTTTTGTTGATTTTTGTTTAAAGTAGACACAAGGAAATGACAAAATGAAGGTTAACAATCTTGATAATCTCAATAGACATGAAAAGCACTCGACAAGATACAACATCCATTTATGACAAAACTCTCAAAATGGGTTTAGAAGGAAAGTACCGCAACACAACACAATATAGGCCACATGACAACAGCTAACAACTGAACACTTTCCCTCTAGGATCAGGAACAAGACAAGGATGCCCACTCTTGCCACTTCTATTCACATAGTACTGGAAGCCCTCGCCAGAGCAGTTAGGCAAGAAAAAACAAAAGGGATCCAAACTGGGGAAAAAGTAAAAGTATCATTATTTGTGGATGACATGATTTTATATGTGGATAACCCTAAAGACTATCAGAAAACTATTAGAAGTAATAAACTCAGTAAAGTTGCAGGATACAAAATCAATATGCAAAAATGTGTTGCATTTCTCTCTACTAACAACGAACTATCAGAAAGAGAAACGAGGAAAAAAATCCCATTTACCATCACTACAAAAAGAATAAGATACCTAGGAATAAGCTTAACTAAGGATGTGGAAGACCTATACACTGAAAACTGCAATACAATTCTGAAAGAAATGAAGAAAACAAAGGAAATGGAAAGATATTCCGTGTTCATGGACTAGAAAAATTAACATTGTTAAAATGTCCATGTTACCTAAAGGAATCTACAGAGTCAATTTAATCCTTATCCAAATCCCAATAGCATTTTTCACAGAAATAGAACAAAAAATCCTGAAATTTGTATGGTACCACAAAAGACTCTAATAGCCAAAGCAATCCTAAGAAAAAAAGAACAAAACCAGAGACATCACATTCCCCAATTTCAAACTATATTATAAAGCTATAGAAATAAAAAAAAGTTTAGGTAATACAGGAAAATATAGAGATTTTCAAATTCTAGCACCTTGAAATAACTACCATTAATACTGGATGAATACCATTCCCATGCATATATACCAGAAGGATGGATTCTTCATAAAAAACAAAATTTTTTTTTCACCAGAAATTCAGAAAACAAGTAAAATAAAGCAAAACCACCAAGGCAATGATAAATAAGGAGGATTTCCTTATGCAGCACACAATTCACACCTTTCTAATCAGACTTTCGTTTCACTTTGCCTCCCAGAAGCTAGGATTCACTCCACCTCCCTTTTCACATGCTTCAAGTTTATTGAGAATCCAAAAGTGTCTCTATATCTGAACCCAGCTGTTAGCACCTTCCAGCATTTTCCTCGTCTTCCCACTGAGCCTATCATATTCACTGCTCTGGGTTTGTTTGTTTTGTTTCCTTTTCTTGTGTGTGTGGGGCAAGATGAGCGGAAAGGGGAAGATTTTGCCTGTCATTTCAAATGCTACAATTCATCTGCTCTTTAATGCACATACATATTTTTTCTGTCCTCCAGCCATCTTATCGTTCTGCTCTAGCTGAGCATTGCCATAAACATTTGTATTCCTCTGACATCCCAGCAACCACAATCCTTTCCTGAAGGTGGCCAGGGCCCTGCAGTGTCAGCCTCACTTGGTGGGGAAACTGCCTTTATCAGTTCCTGTCTCCAGATTCACCCCGAATGGGCAGATGTATGCTTCATGGTGCCTCCTAATTAGCCAAAAGCAGACACTTTCCAATGCCTCACTTTGTAATCTGCCACTACTGTTGATGTGTATAACTATTAAATGCAAAAGGCACCATTAAAATAACATTAGTTTCTGGCTGTCTCATCGACAGCTTCAGATACCTGAAGTGGAGATCAGGTGGCTGCCTTGGTGTTCTTGATCGTTCTGGGTACTTATTTGAGTTTTCAGAATTCCAGGAATCTTTCACTCACTTAAGATTGTTAGACGGAGGCGGAGGCGGAGATGAGGCACCAGGCATAGGTGGCCTATGATAATGATGCTATTGTTCTGTGTTTGCACACACTCTGGGCATGTGTGTAAAATTTTCTCTGAGCGTGAGGCAGTCTGTCTGACCTCACCCTCCTTGCTGAATGACTGACTTTCAAGGGCAACCATATGACAAAGAAAAATGAGTCCCTGGTCCTGGGCTGGGAGGCTGTAGAGGCTGAGAGGGAGCACCAGAGGCTGCCGGAGCCTCCCACAGCCGAGGGCAAGTTCCACAGTCAGAAGCCCCCAGGAACTTCAGGGCCCCAGCCTTTTATATAAGTAAAAGTTTGGGAAACATTCCAGGCAAGTCAAACAATAAGTATTCCCCCTGGTTAGCAAAGATGAGAACCAAATCACCTGCCTAGCTTAGACTGGCTTTATTTTATTTGCTAAATAAAATATTTCTACCTTTCAGCATATAAATAGCACTTACAAGCATTTACTACTTCAACTATGAAATTCACTGAGTGATGGCAGAAAACTTCTGCTGGGACAGCAGAGCAGGGAGAAGCTTTAGGAAGTGGGGACATACCTTTTTAGCTGCTGCTGAAGAAATTGCTTTCTGGTCCAGTAGGTTGAGAAGCTCGGCCAGTGCAGAAGGTGTGACAGGACTAGCAGCCCCCAAAAGGAGAGAAAAGAAATGCACATTTCATGTCAGCATATCCATTTACTGTTACTCATAATTGCAAGACTTGATTTTATAGGTTTAAATAATTAACCTCCCACCCAGGAAGGAAAACAACACGCCATTTGGGCTTTATTTTATTTATTTTGTATTTTAAGATATAACAAATTTTTGTGACTAGTGTTGTTTTTCTTTGTTTTACCACCCAACAATAACAGCTGCTTGGCAGACGTTGTAGCAACAGACAATTGCTCAGTTTAATTAGTCAAAGAAAGGAGGTGGCTGCAAAATTCATGAACTATGATGAGGAAAGAAAAAACAACAACAATCCCAGTAATTAAGTATTTTCAACAGAAAGATCAGCCTAAAAATTACTTCAAACAAAACAGCTAACAAAGCCACATTTTGAGAGTTTCTGTGGAAATATAAATTATTTTTTATTATGAGAGCTTTTCTTTAAGGGAACGCAATGACTACCCACCACTTCTTTATCCATCCTCACGGGCATCTTCATAAACTGTTCTCTCCTGAAGGCTCACAACAGCTTTCTGGACACACAGGGCTTAGAATTCATTATCTATACTTCTAGGACATGACTTATTTACCAAGATGCTGTGATACAAAAGGCCAAGGACCAAACAAACACATAAAGTGTCATTAATTCACACTTAGGGGTAGGAGTTGGGGTGAGGGGGTATGAGTGCCTAGATTACTGAAAAAACAAAACTGAATTACAGATTTCTTTTAAAATATATGGTTTTGCTACTTCCAAACACATACAGTAACTAGGCCAGTGGTCGGCAAACTGAGGCTCGCGAGCCAAATGCGGCTCTTTGGCCCCTTGAGTGTGGCTCTTCCACAAAATACCACGTGCGGGCGCGCATGTACAGTGCAATTGAAACTTTGTGGCCCATGCGCCCCATGCGCAGAAGTCGGTATTTTGTGGAAGAGCCACACTCAAGGGGCCAAAGAGCCGCATGTGGCTCTCGAGCCGCAGTTTGCCGACCACTGAACTAGGCTAATTAAACCCGTCTATCTGAGGTCATCAGGGACTAGTTTTAAATGGGTGGGTCAGCTTATAAACAGCATGGTAGCCTGTGGGGGTAAATGAAAGCTTCTGAAATGCTTAACACCACTTGAAAACACCTTCTGTTTGAGTCTCGGTTGCCATCATTCGCTATTAATTTCTTTGTAAGCTCTTAGATAATAAAAAGAAAACTGCTATTTAGCCTCTGCCAATTTCCATGAATTTCAGACCAAGCGAATGCAAGTTAACCTGGTGTGCCTTACTGTGCAGTCTGATGCAAGTACAGTGAAACCTCATTAGGATTGTTCACTGAAAGCAGCTAACACATGGAGGCAGACATCAGCCTTCAAGTGTTTGTTTATCCCAAAGTACATATGGATAAAGGTGACTCCTGTGGAAATTAGGTTTGGAGAGTGCCTGATGTTATTAGTTGGCATCTGGAACATCTGTGAAGCCCCCTGATTAAATCTCAACAGGAAGAGGGGCAGAGGACTGGGAAATAAGCTTTTGCCAACCTCCCACCCTTACTGACTGGTCATTCAGAATCGGGTTTCTGGGATGCTCTGCAATCCTAGAAAATACAACAGCCAATTAGACTGTGCAGAACCACAATCAGCACCGAGGTGGAACTGGATTTCTAGAACAGTGGTCGACAACCTTCCGGACCTCACAGACCACCAGTGGTCTGCAGACCACCGGTTGGCAACCGCTATTCTAGAGCATACAAAAAAACACACACAACAAATACGGGGTCTCTACTCCCATATGAGTCCAGGATATAAGGGATGCTGGGACAGAGAAGGACAGAAACAGGACACAACTAAAAATACTTTGCCTTTCACCTAATGACCTTAATTCATAACGTAGGTGATAAATTTATACTATAAAACACCTCCACTGACCTAACAGAACTTTGGGTTTCTCAATCATCTTTTTACACCCACAATGCTTGACACATAGTAGGTCAATAATATGTGTGTCATAGAATTCTTCCCCATAACAGGGGTATCTGGTATACTGTGTATACCAATTCCAGATACACCAGGGCTAACCTCGAGTAAGAGGATGACAAAGATCAGTTCCTGTCTCACCCTTAAGGACCCCACTCACCAGATAAATAAATATACCATCAATATGGAACATAATGGCAACAGAAGCACAACTACTAACTTGCTGATGTCAGATAATACCAGTTTCTGGACAGTAAACGCGTCTCAGGCAAGAATTAGCTGACACTGAAGGCTTAAGCTTTCTGTGCTTGCTTCCAATCCCCCAAGGCCAAAGTATCTACAGAGCCGGGGAGATGGGGTATGTCACCTCTCCCAACTTCATCCAGAACTTTGGAGCTCTTTTAGGATCACAACTCCATCACCAGCTTGGATTGTGGCAATAGATACCTGACACCTCTCAACCATGATCCGGCCAAGCTGTACTTGAGAAATGTGCTGACCATCTCAATCCCAAAGCTCATTTTAGGCCCAAAGTCCACCTTCTGCAGATGCAAGAGCTCCTGGAGGAAGACATGGGACTTGGACATCCAGGGGCTCTTGCTGCTCAATAGTCCTTTTATCTCTCTAACTTCATAGCAACCGGACTGTTCTCACAGTCTCCTTTCCAAACCCCTCTCGGCAAAGACCCTCCCCTCCCACTTCATAAGGACATCAGCTGATGCAAGATTCAGAATTTTCAAGGGAGCCCTCCTCCTATTTCATCAAACAACCCCCTCGGCCCATACTCTTCACCCCATCCCCCTCTATTCCTAAGATTCAGACTCACTCAGACACCTACTTCCTCTCTCTTGTGCTTTAATGCTGAGATCTTCCCTATCATGAAAATGCCTTCTGCCTGGCCAGTGATGCTCAGTGGTTGAGCGCTGACCCATGAACCAGGAGGTCATGGTTCAATTCCTGGTCAGGGCACATGCCCAGGTTGTGGGCTGAGAGCCCCAGTAGGGGGCACGTAGCAGGCAGCCATTCAATGATTCTCTCTCATTATTGATGTTTCTATCTCTCTCCCTATCCCTTCCTCTCTGAAATCAATAAAAAATATATATATATTTTAAAGTAATAACCAGTCCTAGCTCACAGGCTATAAAATCAGGTCTGCCACATGACCTCTAATGGGCTCCCAACCTCCACAGCCCCATTATTAATGCCATCCACACATCATGCTGCTGGACTAATCTTCCCGTCACAATCAGTCCCTTCTTGGCCCGAAACATTCCCTGGTTCCTTAGAGCCTTAGGAACTACTGCCATAGCTGGCCTGGGAGTTCGGGTACGCCACTGGGCTGGACAACTGGGCTTTACCAAGAAATGCTGGCTCAGGGAATATGTCATTTCCACCTTCTTAATGAAATCCAACCTGTTATTAACAGTAATTTAGAATTAGATATTAACAACTTTAAAAGTAATATGCCCGAAGTAATTAAAAAGCCATGTTTAAAAAGAGCTTTTCTGGTTGGATCCTTTAAATGCCAGGGGCCTTAGATAGCCTCTAAGAACTCTGAGAGGTCTACAAAGATGGATGCTAATTTATAAAATCTGTCCCTGGCGCCTTATCTCTAGAGCAGTGATTCCCAAAGTGGGCGCTACTGCCCCCTGGTGGGCGCTGCAGCGATCCAGGGGGGCGGTGATGGCCACAGGTGCATTTAACTTTTTTTGTATTACCTTTCTATTCTGAGTTCAATAAATAGTTTCATAATTTCAAACTTCAATGTTTCTAATTTACACCTTTCTTTACTATATTTTACGAAAAAGGTAGAAACATTAATACATATATCTTTCTGTTTAATTGCTATTAAAATTTCTTCAAATAGGTTTTCAATATCTTGCTGTCTCTCATCTTCTGGCACCCCTATTATTCTGATGTTGGTACGCTTGAAGCTGTCCCAGAGGCTCCTTACACTATCTTCGTATTTTCGGATTCTTTTTTCATTTTGCTTTTCCGGTTGGGTGTTTTTTGCTTCTTCGCATTTCAAATCTTTGGCTTGATTCTTGCGCTCCTCTGGTCTGCTATTGGGTGTAATATTCTTTATTTCAGAGCGTGTATGCTTAATTTCTAGTTTCTTTATCATAGCATCGAGGGTCTCATTAGTTTTCGTGAAGCTCTCCAAAAGTTTATTGCAAGCCCTCAAAATTGCGTTTTTTAGCTCTATATCCTCCATTTCTGTCATGTTTTTTTGTCTCCGCATTTTTTATGCTTTCTTGGTGCACCCTCTAGTGGTCTTTGTGCGCAGTCTTGTTCTAGTTGAGCCTTGATTGTTGTAGTTAATACTAGAGGGATTTGACCACCAGGCCGACTGGCTGTGTGAATCAGCTGTGTCTGCCGCGGAAAACTTCTGTCCTCTGGGGAGGTGCTAATCTAGCCTTTGCCTGAGGCGATCCGGCAAATGGCTCTGCGCAGGGCTTGGGCGGGGCGGGCTCAACAGGGCGGGCGGAGGGAGCCGTTATGGTGCCCTCAGTCCTGTTCCCAGAGGCTCTGCTTCTCAGAACCCCCGGAACCGCTGCAAACCTCGGAGGGAAAGCTGCCTTCCAACTGATGCCAGACACTCCCGCTTCTCCCGTTTGGGTCCGAGTCCCCAGCGATTCGCCCGTATCTGGAGCTCAGAGTCTGAGACTCCCCCCTGACCGAAAACGACAACCGCGCTCTCAGCCACCAGCCCGCTTTGCGCGCGCACCTCCGCACCTGAGTATTTTCCACACTGCGCCTCCTCTGAGCCTCGGTGTGCTGTTATTTTTCCTTCTAGTTGAAGAGTCTCTCCTCAGCCAGCCTTCCTGCGGTTCTGGGTGATGTCCGTTCCGTCTTTTAGTTGTATTTTTGAAGTGGTTGTTTGCGGCAGCAGTCTGCAGTGTTTACCTATGCCGCCATCTTGGTCTCGACTCTCTTTTCAATATATATATATTTTAAAGTAATAACCAGTCCTAGCTCACAGGCTATAAAATCAGGTCTGCCACATGA